CAAAAAGCATTTTCTTCAGTTTTTTGCCTCGCCTGACCGGAAACAAGAAGATATCTCCACACCCGACACAGTTCTAGAATCAGCACGACAAGGCGCATCTTTCTATGCAATAATATCGACAAAAAAAGACTGCTATAGTTTTGCTGTTCCGGCACCTTACTTTAATTATCATTATATTGGAATGAAATATCAGATATAAGTATGGAATATATTTCACATACATTAGCATTAAATAAAACACTAAGTGCCTTTAATATTGGTCATAATAAAATTAGTTTACATGGTGCAAAAGTAATAGCATCGATGTTAGAAATAACCAGAACACTTTTGTATCTAAATATTAGTGAAAATTCATTGACAGATGATGGTTTAGTATCGATTGCCAAAGCATTAAAGCTCAATAAAAGTTTAGTTAGACTCGATATCGATGAATGTGGTTTTTCTGATAAAGGTTTATCAGAACTTTCAAAAGTATTAACTGAAAATTCAATATTAACCCATTTGTCAATGTTTAGAAATGAGCATATTACAGATGATGGTATTAATACACTTTTAAATGCTTTAGAGATTAACAAAAATTTTCGGTAAAATCGTTTTTTTACTGAATAGAAAGACGACTAGCGATTTTCTCTTATATAAAAAAATCCTTTTTACGATCTTTACGAGTATAATAGGAGGTTAACCTAATGGACATGTGAAATTAGCTCACAGTTTATCGGAACCGCCCGGTATACCGGTCGATTGCACCGGCGCATTCAACTGGTATTTTATCAGCGTGTACAAGAGCTCGGATCTAGTTCTCAGCTTCTTTTTCTTGCAGTACGCGTGCAGCACAATGAGGTTTCCAAACGGGGAAAACTTAACTTAAGTCAAAGTGCAAAGTTCGACGAGTCTCTATAATCTGAAAGAGAAAGTATTATCTGAAAAAAATCAAAGTTTTTTGACTTTTTTGTGTTTCTTATATAGACTGACAACCGCAAAACAAAAAGGTGTTTGTGTCAAAACGGTTTACTGACGGTTTTTTCTTGTACGATGGTCTGAGAACTACCGTGCGGTAACCGTCGCTAAACCGGTCGTTATATAGACGCAAAACAAAAAGGTGTTTGTGTCAAAACGGTTTACTGACGGTTTTTTCTTGTACCGTGGTCCGAAAACTACCGTGCGGTAACCGCCGATAGAAGGAAAAACCGTCGCTAAAACCGATCGTTATACCGAAATAATACTACAAACTGCATTCACTCCAGTGTCACTCCGCCCACTTCGTCACTCCGGATCACTCCACTACTCCGTCCACTCCGGTTAAACTCCGCGGAGTGACGGAGTTAGCGGAATATGGTGTTTCCCCCTTGCTATATGGACTCTTTGAAAACCATATTTTTTTTCTATAATATATGTTTCTACTTTACAGTGTGTGGTGTGTTCAAAGGCCGGTGGGAAGCGGGATTAGTCCTATCCCAGAATGCGAGTGAAAAATAAAGAAGCAGGACGGGACGGGACATGAGTGATTTCGATAGTAATTCTAGGAACGACTGAACATATTCGATGTTGTTTTTAGTAAACTTTCTCATCTTACAAAAAGTGATTTAATAACCCATGTCATCAGAACCGGTAAAATACCGCCGGTTACCGCCGAGTGTAATGGGAGGTCAACCTAATGGACATGTGAAATTATCTCACGGTCTATTGGAACCGCGCGGTATACGAATCGGTTGTACCGGTGTTTCAACCTGCATTTTATCAGCGTGTACAAGAGTTCGGATCTAGTTCTCAGCTTCTTTTTCTTGCAGTACGCATGCAGCACAATGAGGTTTCCGAACGGGGAAAACTTAACTTAAGTCAAAGTGCAAAGTTCGACGAGTCTCTATAATCTGAAAGAGAAAGTATAATCTGAAAAAAATCAAAGTTTTTTGACTTTTCTGTGTTTCTTATATAGACGCAAAACAAAAAGGTGTTTGTGTCAAAACGGTTTACTGACGGTTTTTTCTTGTACCGTGGTCCGAAAACTACCGTGCGGTAACTGCCGATAGAAGGAAAAACCGTCGCTAAAACCGATCGTTATACCGAACGGTACGGTTAACCAGCGATAATCTATAGACCGGTTGGTAATCGGCGGTATTACGAAAAGAAGTGCGACATGGGAAGTACATGGAAACATCTGTATGGTGGGCTCTGTGTTATTTTAACTCTTTGTCTCAAAAAGACTAGACTGCTCGACGTGTAGAAATTTGCTTCGTGCACCTTCGAAACTGTATAAATAATCGAATAGATCAATCCCAGAAGGAGCAGTTCGACATTGTTTTGTTGTTTTATTTTCAGTATTTTTTCTTTTTTTCAAACAAGCTATTGCCATATACGATGTTTCAACTTAAAATCAATTTCAAGAGTTTATTATTACTGTTCGAAAAGAGAAGAATACCCTAAAGTTTATGTAAAAACTGAGGGCGAGACGGTGATCACAAAACTGAACGAAATTTGTCTGACCACTTTTTCAGTTATCACTAAAATATTCTTTTAACAATATCAATACACTGAGATCCTTTGGCGCTAGAAACAGAACAGAGTTTGCTTCTTTTCTATTGTTCTAACCGCCTGTTCTTCGTCGATACTAGCTTCTCTACTGTGAATTTGCAGACAAACAGAAATCTTGAAATGTATCTTGAGAAGAAATTGAGAAACAAAAAAATTGCG